GAGCATCCCTGAGTCAAACTGTTCCGTTTGTGACTCCCGCCAGCGTTGGTCTATGGTGTTTCAATGCATATCTGAGTCTGCAGCCATAGATCTGTCTTCGCTGGAGAGAAAAGGATACATTGGAAACACCAAAAGAGCGAACGCAGGCTCTGTTAGCACCCAGGAAATGAGATTGGAATGTCACAGCTGCATGGCTCGCCCATGCATGGAGGATCTGCTAACTGGCAGCTGCCCTTGCTATGGGCAAAGCCTGGCTTTGCTCCCCCACAGGATACTAAATGAGTGTAAATTACACTCCTAGTGTGCCCTCACTGCGTGCCAGGGTGGTGCAGCTTATGCTGCTTTGCCCCCTTGATCTGTTTTCTGATTACACTTTGCTGGCCTGGCTAGGAGAAGCTGTGGGAAGATTGTGCTATGACAGTCTTCTCCAGAGCTGCTGGGCTGCGCAGGGGTGGGTGGCCGCCCAGAGGATGGTGCAGCATGTGCCCAACTCTGCATCCAGCACGTCCTGCAGCGGGGCCGGACAATGGCCTTGTGGAACCCTTGCACCTTTCGCGGCTTGCGTGTGCCCCAAGGGGGGTGAGGAGGAGCGGACCTCGCAGGGGAGTGCATGGCAGAGCTGCCCCAGGAGAATGCAACCGGCTGCCAAGACTCTAGCATCTCTAAGCCCCTCCGCATCTGGCATCGTTTCCACCCCAGTGGCCGCTCCCTGGTGATCTCAGACCTAAAGGCTCTGCCCTGCCCCTGTGAACGGCAGCCATCCTGAGCGCTCAGCTTGTGCGCTCAAGGTCACCTCGACACACGGTTGCAGTGCCTGCCATCCCCAAGGCATTGATCCTGTGTGACTCCGGGATGCCGCGGCCCCGGCCCTTCCTGAGTCAGACGCCCTCCCGAGGTGGGAGAGTACTTTGTCGCCACCTTTCAGTGCGGCTCCCGGAGATACCAAGTATCCCTCCCCATCTATCTCGGGAGCGCAGCTGGTTAAATGGGCAAATTTGTATTCATTCCATAGCAGCCAGGCAGAGACGGAGCTCTGTCCCCCTGATCCTCATCAGGGAGTGTGTTCTGCAGCATCAGCAGTCTAAAAATACCCACCATTAGCATGCTGGACACATTAGACTCCGGCAAAAGGCTGGCGGGGAGGAGAGCCGGGGGAACAGGATCTCAAAGGTGCTTTATCTCCCCATCCAAAGGAGCTGGAAATCAAAGGCAGAAACCCCACTTCATGGAACCTTACGACCAAACCACCTGGCTGGTTTGCATGTAAAATCTCAATGCCGCGGTTTCCACGCCAGCCATAACCAGCTGCGCCGTGCATGGGAAGCACTCCAGGGATGCTCTTTGGAGGGATCACGATCCTCCATTAACGTTGCCGAGGAGTGGGAGATGTTAGGGGCGGGATGGATTGTTGGGTTGTTCTGATTGTTCCATCCTAGCCGTGGCAGGTTCGTGCCGTGTGGCAATGCCAGTTCCCGTGATGTCCGTTCGGAGCTGCAGTTCTGAAGTCAGTGGAGTTAGGGCCAAGTTCTGACCCAGGTGGAATCAGAGACAGAACTGCTGGTGAACTCACAGGGGCCAGGATTTGGCCTTTACTCTGGATTTATGCCAGGGTAACTGAGATCAGAGTCTGGCGCGGTGTGCGTATTCCTGGGTAACTTTGCGTGACACCCGCCTTGGGACGGAGACGTCATTTCATTCTCTGGGCCTGATCCAAAGCCCAGCCTCCCCTTGACTTCGGTGGGCTCCCACTGATCATGCTCTCTATGGGGAGCAGGTTAATTTCACTGGGAGTGGTGAGTTCCTGGCACTGCTTTGGACCAGACCCTATGGCTGGGATTTTCAAAGGCTGTAGCCAATGGGATTTGGGTGCCTCACTCCCTTGGATTCCTTGAAAGTCTAATCTATATTAATAGCGAGGAATAATGACAGCACTAAGTCCACCCAGACAGCTCCCCACTGTGCATGCCCAGCACGCTGGAGTAAAACCCCTGTCTGACTTCTTTACTCCTCAGCCCAAACACAGCAAAGCAAGTATCCCTCCCCGAGGCCAGCGATACCCACGGGCCCCTTTTAGAATCCTCCAGCCACATCGGAAATGTTTCCCAAAGCCTGGATAGCGCTTGAATCCCTCCTACCAGATAGTTTAGGTTCCTGACTGGAATCCTACCAGGCACTCCATTCCCATAAGAACAGCCATACTGGGCCAGGCCAATGGTCCATCTAGCCCAGTGTCCTGTCTTCTGACAGTGGCCAGTGCCAGGTGCCCCAGAGGGAATGAACAGAACAGGTAATCGTCAAGAGATCCATCCCGTCGCCCATTCCCAGCTTCCGGCAAACAGAGGCTAGGGACACCATCCCTGCCCATCCTGGCTAATAGCCATTGATGGACCTACCGGTATCTTCCATGAACTTTTCTAGTTCGGTTTTTTTTTTTTTTAACCCTGTTATAGTCTTGGCCTTCACAACATCGGGCAGAGAACAAGCCTGAGAAATTTCAACCCAAAGGGGGATTTTTCTGGAATGCTGTAAGTGTCCTAATAGAGCCGCAGCGTCTCTTCAGCAATAACTCTCAGCAGACAGCTCCAATCGCCCTGCTGGCTGGGAGAAATTTCCCAATCAGTCCAAAGACAAATAGGCCATTATTGGATGCCCAAAGGTGCAGTGGTATTGGATTGTCAGCCCTTAATGTCACTTTCAGGAGAGAGAACTCTGGCTGGATTCTGATCTGTTACACCCATGTCAATCTGGAGTAACCCACTGACTTCTAGCCACAAGATGATGTTGCAATGCAGCCTTGAAGCCCCCAGTTGGTGAGAACGTGGTAGGGCAGGTTCAGTGGTGATGGAGGTCTCGCTCCCCCGCTACTCTCCTGGTCTTTGCAGATGGTCAGGATTCTGTTCTCCCAGGCCAGGCAGGCTGCCTGGAGGAAAGGCCATCCCCCCATCCGGTCTGGCTGGGCCGGTGTGAAAGGAGAACGTGCACGTGCTTTGCAAGGAATTTGGTAGCTTCAATCAAAATCCTTAACCAAAGCCACCCTACAACTTGGTACCAACACCCAGAGCGGGGTGGGCTCTATCAGCTAGTCGGGTGGAGCCATGTGTGGGAACCATGCACACTGCCCCTGAGCATGCTGTCCGGCTCTGGTCTGTGTTGCTAGTCACTTACTGTCATGAGCATGGGGAAAAATTAACCTGATTTGTAAAAACAAGCCCAGGCTCGGCCTTGCAGAGCTGGGGGGGGCTGAGTGCTGCCGCGCAGATCCGGGTGTCGCATCAGGCGAGCGCACGACATGCTGCTGCAGGCGTTTTGGAGAGGTCTGGGCCGCTGGGACCTGACCCGCCTCTGTCCAGCCACAGGAAACGAGCAGCCTTGTCTGCTCTGCGGCGGACACTCGGAGGATGACCTGATGCAGGCTGGATCCTGCTGGGATCCATACCCAGGACTTTGTCCTCAGAGTAGCTGGACCCAGGGCTTCCGCAAGAGTTCCAAGTAGTCAGCGCATCTCTGGGTGAGACCCTAGGTGTGGATGCTGGGGACTCGTGCACCCAAATTCCCCATCTCCGTGGCTGCTCCCTAAAAGGGCCTCAGCAGCTCAGTTGATAGCACCCTTGGTATCAGGCCGATTCCGAGGATGTTTTGGGTGAAAGTCCTGTGCCAGCCCTGTGTCAGGGTGGTGGGAAACTGCACTGTCCCACTGGGCAGGGTTCAGGATCAGGCCTGGGAAGTCCCAGTCTGTTTCGTAGGAGACTAGGGAAGCAGAGAGGCAGCTGCTGAAACCACCAGCGTAAGGATGCGCTCCCCATGCAGTGGCGTGAGTCGAGGGCGTGCCCTGTGCTTCACCGTGGGCACAAATGGGATCCTTTCTCTGCGCTAGACTGGAGACACGGCTGGAACCTAGGCCCATATGACATTGCTAGGCTCCTCCTTTGGCAGTGCTGTGCAGCGGGGAATAGCCCCGTGCACTATCTCTTCCTGAGCAACAGCTCGTCACGGTGCCGGCGCAGGCTTCGGCTTCTAACCTGCTCTGCCTTTCCCAGCAGGGAACCTCGATCCCTGGGCCGGGCATCGTGCTTACCTTGAAACCTGCGTGGCTCCGAAAAGCAGCCCCAGGTGAGAATTACTGAGCCAGGGCCCCGATCCTGCAAGGCGCTGAGCACCTGCCGTCCTTGTGGAAGTCAGGGGGAATTGAGGGTGCTCTGCACCGAGTCAGGATCAGACACCCTGGGCCAGATTCTCAGCTGGGGCAACTCAATCTAGTTCCCTTGACATCAGTGGAGCCATGGGAATTGATTGGGTCCCCACTTTGCACAGGCTGGGTGGCATGGAGCTAGTATTGGATCCCTGCTTGGCACAGGGTGGGAGGAGTCTGGGGATTATATTCCCACTTAACACGATGGGGGGACATTTTGGGGTAGTATTGGGTCACTGCTTTGCTTGGGGTCAGGGAGTGGGTCGTCCTGGGTCCCGTTCATCCGCGGCTGAACAGCTTTCTGTGGGACGATCTGGCCTGCGTGGAGGAGTGCTGCCGGTGCTGGCGATTTCGTCAGCGGTCTCGTGCTCGGTGGTGCTGTTCGTACAGGGGGTTGCTGCGAATCTCGGCTTCCGGGTAAAAGTGACAAAGCCGGTGTCTGGGCCTCGTGGCTAGGGCGAAAACTGGAAAACGTGACCCTGGAAGTCTCAACAACCAAAAAGCAAACAGAAAGCCCCAGCACGTGTTACTGTTCTTGTACAAATCTCATGGCGTCTAAGCCGATCTCATGACTGGCGGAGGAGGGGGGCCGAATTCTGATTGTTGAAGCTGGAGTTGGCCATACGGGGAAAGGAGCTCTGTCCTGTTGCAGAGATGAGGTCTGTGGCCTCTGACTTGGCACGTGCACTTACTCCTGACCAGGGGATGGTAGCCAGGCCTGCTGCAGGCTGAATGATTTCTACTTAGGTGATGCCTTGGCCCCTGGTGATACAAAAATCAGCTGTTTCAATGTTCTCTCTTTTCACCCCAGTTTCCTTACGCCGCCCCACCCCCCCAGGAGCCGGTGAAGACACTCAGGAGTTTAATCAACATCCGCAAGGACACGCTGCGCCTAGTCAAGTAAGTTCCCGTTTGCAGCGGTGGGAGTTCGTGTGGTCTGGCTGGGAACCCTGCTCCAGCTTGCAGCATCCCAATGGCTTAACCAGTTAGGTGCCTGCATCAGCTGAGCAGTGACGAATCCACCCATGAGGTAACGTCCCGAACCGCCTCCAGAGGGAGCTCTACACCTACCCGTGTGTCTGGGTTAAAGCAAGGTGCATGGCTCTGGGCTGGCTGGGAGGGGATTTGGGATTGCGAGGAAGGGATCTAGTGGGACTGGGCCCTGAATGGAAGGAATAAGGGGTGCCCAGAATCCCGTCTACACCTGGTTGGCGAGGGGAAGCTCATGAGTGGAGGAGTCAGCTTCCCTGTGGCACGGTGTGCTGAGAGCCACCCGTCAGCCAGCATACCAAGAGGACTAAGCATGATTTTAGTGAAGCCACTGACGAGGAATGGTGGTGCCACGAGGCGGCATCTTGCGGAGAAGGCCCGCTCCCACTCCTGTTATTGGACAGATGGCTCGCCTCTTGGATTTTCACCTTCCTAGCTCATCTGCAGGGTCATTAGAGGTGACAGTAAGAGCCAGACCGAGCTAATCCCTCTCCCACTGCCAGGGCTGGAACCAGCAATCGGAGCCAAATGCAATGCAGCAGCGCAGAGTTCAGGCCTGGCGGGGAGAAGTGACCTAGGAAAGTCGGTGCAGAGGCGAGGCCGCAGACCAGCCACTCTCTAACCTGCCTCCCTTGCTGGGACACACTGCAACCGTTCTTTCTCTTTGCCCTTCTCTCCCTGCGTCTCTCAATTCTGATCCCCTTCCTGCTTTCCCTCGGGCCGAGAGGAGGAGGGAATTGTGCAAAAATGTGCCTACGCCAGGCCCTGCGCAAATGAACAGCGAGGGGCCCGAGAGCCCCATGACACCATCCTGTGGGCGTGCAGTGATTGCATGGGACGTGCGCGTTCAGTACCCACCTTGGACGTGAAGTGCTTAGAGAGCCTCAGATGGCTGACGAGGGGGAGTGGGAATCGGAAAGGGGGGCAAGTGTGATTTTGTTCCATGTAGGAGAAACTGTCTCCAAGCTGCGGCTCTGTGCTGAGCACTGGGATCTCCCCTGTAGCTGCGTGGCCAAGCAGCAGCCACGTTGGAGACTGGCTTGCAGGTGACCTCCCAGGGTGACGAGCAACCGCAAGGGGTGAGGTGGGTTTGAATTCACATGGGCAGTAACGTAAAGGGGGATTCTCGGGGCTGCATCATGCAGAAGGGACTGCCCGGCTAGGAGCGTCTGACGAAGGGCGGCTACTTCTCCCCTCTTCTTAAAAAAATCCGAGGGAGAGAAAATGGGGGAGTGAAGCCTCAGGGTGGGAGGGAAGGAAAAGAGAAGAGGGGAGAAGGAGGGAAATGGGAGTGATCAGGTGACACCATTGGCGTGAGTTCATGGATTCTTCTCTGCTGCCTGTAGGGTGACCAGACAGCAAATGTGAAAAATCGGGATGGAGGGTGGGGGGTAATAGGAGCCTATATAAGAAAAAGACCCCAAAATCGGGACTGTCTCTATAAAATCAGGACATCTGGTCACCCTAGCTGCCTGTGGTGCTCCGTAGGGGAGCGTGTGTCTGGGCCAGAAGATAAACATCTGCGAGAAAGAAAAGGTGAGGGTGGGGTTGGAAGGTGGGGACAGGAGAGGTGATTGCCCATGGCAGTGGTGAGGTGGAGCAGCGCTGGCCGTGACGGGGGTGCTGGGGCCAAGCCTGAGTGGGCAGTGGGGCGGCCAGTGCTGCTTGTGCCCTTGCTACTGCTGCACTGGGGATTGCGGCTCCGACTCCCACTGCAGCCAAAGGGGGCGTGTGTGGACGGGCTGCACGTGCGCAGGAGGAAATTAAAGCCCTGGAGAAGCTGCTGCCCCGAGCATCGCTGGAGGCTCGGCTTAAAGTGGACCGTGCAGGGCCGGCTTTAGGCCAAATCCACCAATTCCCCCGAATCGGGCCCCGCGCCTAAGAGGGCCCCGCACCCAGTGGCAGGGCCACCCAGAGTGGGGGGCAAGTGGCAGAGAATCTC